ATATGTGATATATATTTGCATTCATATGATTCATTTACATGCATTATTGGTAGCAACATTTTGCTTTACTATTATAATTTTACATTAATACAAAATCCACATAATTTTTTTAATCTACAGGGCATGACTGTTTCTCATTATTTGTGAGTTGTGTTCTGTAAATGGTTGTGTGTACCATAACCATTATTCATAGGAGAAATAGAGATTAGGTTTTTGTGAGACATGGATTACATTTTCATCGACCAATCACAGTCACCATCATTACATACCATCACACTGTATTTGGAGTACTTTTGTGTCTGAAGATACCGTATTTAATAAACATTGTTGATTCAGGGTCAATAGCACAGTAAGTCAAGCCTGAATGGAGTTTATCTGACACAAATATTTTCTCCATAAAAAGGTATGTGATAGCTCTCTCACACTGAGGAATTCCAGAAAGTGCTTCGGCCACACCCATGGAGGTCTTTTTACACAAAATATCTACCCTGCAAAAAAAAGAAAGTGCGTGGGGTTCAAACAAGCAACCCCTGCTTGTGATGACTGGGGATGAGTAAGCCCGCTGTTTGCCAGCCCATGCCACCCCCAGTACCGGGAACACTCAGGCGGAACGGGGAGCCTAGTCAAGCAGGGACTCATTTATTGCAGGTGTTACAGAGCTTATAAAGGCATCTGGAAATCCCCCTCCCCACGAGAGTGTATCTTCAGACTTTTAAAACAATTCAGGCCATGTCCCAGTAACTTCCTCTTGGACCTCTGCAAGGTGAGGCCTTTAGATCCCCACACAAAAGTATGGAAAGGGGGCACTCAGAACACTGCAAAACTGTTTGTTGTTACGATATAATAACTAGAACAGGAAGGCAGAATGCTGATTGAAATCTAAAATTAAAAAATGAAAAATATAGATTAAGGAAGATAAGTCACTCCCAAGCCAAACACTAGAATAAGCTACAGCAATTATGCTAGCAAACATTATACTAGGCTTCAACTGTATGTGTACATATATACAACAGGTTTGATATAATAATAAACAATTTTAAATTCTATCAAAATTTTATGTATAAAACACCTACGAAATGAAAACAGCTAAAAGCTTCCAACTGCTTTAAACATTCCCACTTTCATGACTAAAGTAGGATTCTTCACTTTTGTTTCAGTCTGTAATGATATTTTAATATCTTCCAGCCATTTCCGGGGCTATCAAGAGCACCACACCATCCCCAGCACCATCAAATGCTCTGAAGCCCATACACTTCTACAGAGCACCTGTCTTTAGGATTTTCCTATAGGCTGCTTATGATATTCTGGACATTCTGAATTTTCACACTGTTGTTTTCTTGATCTTGTCAGAAATATTGACAGAAGACATATAATCAGTAACGGGACTCCATCCCCTGATGGCCTGAATGACTTGACTGAAATCATAGCTTTGAATTTGACCAACCATCATGAGAATCTTCAAATTTGTGGGTGCATGGGTTATGATTTTTTCATGTCTGGTACTCTGGCAAAACTGACACTAAGTTGTAATCCTCTGGAGGGACCTCCTCATTTGAATGGTATAATTGTGAAATGATGCATTTTTTAAAACTGAAGAAATACTGAATGTGGAAAAATATTTTCACGCCTATGTGCATAGCCAATGTGTGTTTTCATGTATATAGACTTAATGAAATTAAATGTACTCTATACAGGTACGGTTCTAGGATTTGAATTTCTCCTTTTCTTTTTTTAACCCGTGAATATATATCTATACTCAGGTTGAACAATATCACATTATTTAATACGCTATATGTTATTTTACTTGAATCCAGGAATAGATTGTTTATCACATCTTGATATTGTGAGCTACATTGTAGAATGTGCTTGGTTTACACTTTCACTACATTTTAGTATGTGCTTGGTTTCAATATGATCCATAGAAAAACATTTTTTTGTTATTCCAAAATACTCATTCTTTCAATGGTATCATTTGGAAACTCCTAGAAAAGTGTTATCTTTAAATAACATTTCTAGTAATTTTCAATATATGTTTCCCACCAGAGTCTAAGATAACAAAGTAATTTATATATGTCCGTTTCTCAGTAGAGCTATTGGTATACTGTATAGTATATTTAGTCATGTCTATTTTTGCTTGGAGAAAGAATGTCACCCATTGTACCACCTGCTGTCAGCTTGTCTCTGTAATTATAAAGTTTCAGCTTAAGTAATGCTTATTTTCACCTGAAAATGTCCTTATGACATAGCCAAATATTTTTGTTCTAAAATAATAAGAAATAATTATAAAACATGGGCTTGTATACATTTCCATGAAGCAGATTTCTTAACAATGTTTGCTAGGCACAAGCAAATAATACTGTAGCTACTGCTGGAAGGAAATATTATCTAAATTTCTGGGAAAATGATCGCATCATATATAAATGTAAAGGCATGCCGTAATTTACTGTATTTCCACTAAGACACATATCTAAAAGATGTGTCCATATTAAAATCTAGAAATGAACTGAAAACACAAATGCATCTACAGAACTGCTATAAAACTGCATTGTTTTATTCCCTTACTTTTTGTTGCTGTTATAAAATACCCTAGCCAAAGTGACTTAGGACACAACAAAGAGCTTGCTTTAACTCAGGATTCCACATTACATTCCATTCTTGTGGGGAAGTAAAAGGCATGGGAACTTGAAGCAGCTAGTCACATTATATGCATTGTGAAGAGCAGAGCTGAGTAAATTAATGCAGGCATCCCCTCCCTGCCATACCGTCAGCTGGCTTTTTCTACTCCTACAGTTCAGGATCTCCTACCTAGGCAATGGCACCACTGACAGTGGGCAGGTCTTCCTAGTTCAACTAGTGTAGTCAAGATAATTCCAAATAGACCTGCCACAGACCAACATGATCAATACAATCCCTCATTGGGACTCTCTACCGAAGATAATTGTAGATTGGGTCAAGCTGATGATGGAAACCAACAGTCCAACTTATGTTAACATAACTGTCCCTCAACCTCTCTAGCTTTACATCCAGAATGCAAACACAAGTATGCACATGTACACACATTTCTGAACACACACATAAATACACCATCATTTGCTCTAGGTACTAATCATGCCCACAGATCTTGTTATGCTAAAGAAAGTTTTTTTTTAATAATTTGGAAGGTAATCTGGGATCTAAATATTCACTTTTCATAGAAAATCAGTTGTGTTGCTTTTTTCTAGATTCTGGTCTCCAGGAAGATCATCCAAGGGTCCTAATCCCCCGCCCATTAAATTCATGGTGCCTGATATGCATTGCATGTTACTACATATTTGTTCTTTGACTCATCAACTATGTGAATTATCTCTTTGCTAAAGAAATGTAGATATTTCCTCAGCTACTATACACATGAATCCTTTCCAAAGTTATCCTTGAAAAGTTACCTGACAGGCATCTTTTATTTAATTTTTTTCCTGCTTTTGTATTCTTTTTTGACCATTCATCAGGCTTTGTCATTAGTTCATCACTGCCTTGTTAAATGCTCTTTTATTCTGTTTCCACTACATTTCTCTTTATTTTCATGAAAACCCTAAATTCCAGAATGTGTGTCACCATTCATATACCCGTCTCCTTATTTCAGAGTGAGCCTACGCCCTTTACCCTTGGAAAATGCCACTTTCTAAGACTGTCACCTTTTGTTTATGAGCAACTAGAGTGGACTAACAGTAAAAATTTAATCCTAACATACTTAGTGGTTTTGTAATTTTTCCCTATGACCCTTTCTATAATATTTTATGTAATTGGAAGCTGTTGTATTTTGCTCCTTTTGTGTATAAGTATAGCCAAAAGAATCAGAAGCAAAAATGGAATTTTACCAGTTGACAGACGACAACTTGAACAGATTTCTTTGGGCTATATGTAGAATATTAAACCTAGTCACTTCATGTTAACATGTAATATTTGAAGACAGTACAAAGGAGAGGTCAAGCAGACTCCAGATTATCTAAAGAAAAAGAGAAAAACAAGTGATGTATGTCTGGTTGTATTCCACAGCCTCATTAGTAACCAGCTTTATTTCATTCTAGTAATACTGAGCATCTTTCATGAAGATAATTGAATACATGTGTTTATGAGAGTAGATATATTTATATACATATATTTTCAATCTACTAATAGATCCACTAAGGTATGACCAAATTGATCAAATGAGTATATGAGAGACCAGAATTGAAAAGTATAAAGTAAAGAATAATGAGATTCTTAAAAAAATTAAGAATAGACTGTAGGGCTTGAAGAGATAGCTCAGTTGATGAATGCTTTTGTGCCAGCATAGGAATTGAATTCAATCCCCAGCACCCACGTAAACAGCCAGGTGTAAGGATGTGTTCTGTGATTCCAACAGTGGGTAAGAGGATACGGATGGGACTCTGGGGTTTTCTGGCCAGTCAGCTTTGCTGAATGGATGAACTCCAGGTCCCAGGGAGAGACCTTGCATCAAAAAGCAACCTGAATGACTCCCGAGGAATGACACTCGAGGTTGACCTCTACCTTTTACATGAACTCACATACAAATGAACACACAATTGGACCTACACACAAACAAAAACAGATTATACGACCATGACTATGAGAAAGAAAATTTATTATCATTTACTGTTACTCAGTTCCCCGTAGTTACTTAAATGTTATTCCCTTCTATATAACAATTGATTGTGTGTGTGTGTATGTGTGTGTGTGTATGTGTGTCTGTGTATACATAGAAAGAAAATTTAGGCGAATCATTTGAAATACTATCAATAATATTCAGGCTTTAACAGTGAGACAAAATACGTAATAAAAATGTTCTAGAGATTCTTCAAACTTCAAACTTTCTAAACAAGTCTAAACCTCTAATCAAATATCTTTATTTTAGTCTTAATATTAGGCTGAACATATACAATTTGGCATAAGAAGTAATTTTGGGGGGGCTTAGCCTCCCTTTGACTAGATTAAGATAACAACAAATAAAAAGTATTATTTCAGTGAAATGAGCAATCATCTGCACTGCCTCCAGGGCTGTCTATGATGATGAGACGCTGAATGAAGACATCATGGTGCCAGTCCAAGGTGCTTATGACAGGATGAAGAAAGTGCCATGTAAATGCCAAGTCACTGAGAAACTGACAGTGGAGACCGCAGCAAGGAGGTTAAAGGTGTTTGGAATACAGTGATGCAATCTGAGAAACTGACAAGAATGAAGTTAAAGGTGTAAACTTCGGCTAAGAGTGAAGTGTTTTCTCTCAGTGGACTTCCTGGGCCTGGTCGCACATCAGCTCTGCTCCCATTTATATCTTTGGGAACCATAAAGACTTTCACAAGCTGGATAATTCAAAAACACAGTTCCATCCCACCCCAAGTCATCCACCCATGTCAATGCTGGAAAACCTATATAAGCTTTGAGAAAAGTGTTTTCTCTTTTTTTTCTTCTGATAGAGTGAACTTTCCCGAGTTCAGGACACAGCCTCAGAGGAAAGCCTGAGGCATCCCTGAACACTGGGTTTGGCCCCCAGCCTATGATTAATTATACTTATGGCTTAAACACACCGGTTTAGCCAGAACTCAGAAAAATGTCAGGATGCTACAAGTTCTACGTGGTCCACAACATTTCTACGTTTTATGATGGGTAACCTAGCAATTTACTTTCAGAAAAATTAATACATATATGGGCACCTTTCAACAAATGACTTAATAATCCAGAAACCCCAACTTGAGTTGCATATTAGTATGAATCTATGTTACATTATTTCTCCATAGATGTTAAATATCATAGCTTCTTCTCTATACATATCCAGGCAGATATACAATGCATAAAATAAACATTAAGTTTATTTTTTAATTTTTAATTAAATTTTTATGTATTTCATATAAAACATCTTAATCATCTTTATATCCCCTCTCTCAACCGTATCATCCCTTAGCACCCCCACTGGATTTCATCACTCTGTCATTTATGTTAAGGCCAATCGAATCAAGTTAGTGTACCCAGACGTCCCTCAGTGTAAGCTCATCCACTGGGGTCTAGTCAGCTTATCTAGAAACACTCCCTTAAAGATCAACTCTCCCTCACTCATTAGTGATCAACTACCAAGAGTTCTTTGGCTAAGATTGGGCTCAGCTGCCCATTTCCCCAGTTCTATGCTGGGTGTTTGACTGCTTAAATGTCTTGTGCATGCTGACACCATTGCTGTAGATTCATAGGAGCAAGGTCTCAGGAGCCTATAAGGCTGTTTCCAAATAACACATCTACGACAGAACCTCTGTACCTAAGGTTCACAGAACATAGTGGAACGAGGGGTAGAGAGAAAATGAATGCATTAACTTTAACAATGGAAGACAATGTTTTATAATTTCTATGCTTGCTTAATAATTCTTAAGAAAACAGGAAGGTTTTCTTTTCAGTTGGAAAAGCAACTATTTTGAGGACTACTTCCCAAAGCCTGTGTATACACAAGCTTCTTCCCCACCTCAAAATAATGTTAAGTGTCATAGCTACCACAGCTGGACACGGTATTTGCTAATATTGTTTCATTGAAGTCCCTATGTATGCTAATGTGGGTTTTACTCATCACCGAGCACATGAAAAAAAAATAATGCTGTAATGCTACTAAGTGGGTTTTCCAGAGTGTTATGTCCAGGAAGTAACCAAATTGCTACCACAACTGGTATCTTTTTACTGGGTTTGTTGTCCCTGATTTCACTGCAGCATACAGCTTGGCAACTGCCCTGTGTTCAGGTATATCATTTCACTTCTTTTAGTCCCTTTCGGGTTTTGGTGTTGTTTGTGAGAATGTTGTTTCCTAGCAGAGGCTGCCATGAAACTTGCTAAATAACCCAGACTGGCCTTGGACTTTGGGTCTTCCTGCCTTCATTGCACAGTGCTGGGCACCACACCCATCTCGCTCAGCTCTATTCCTACAGCAATTTCCAAATTCCAATTTGTGCACAAGTGCATCTTATCTGATCCGTCAGAATTCATGTATGTATGACTGGACTTCAGAAGCTAAAATTACTCTTCAAAGTCTTAAATTTATCACTGTTTTGGCTTATTTATATTTAAGATTTCTATAATCTTTTTGAGTTGGTACATGACATTTTATTGCTACTATTGCTACTATTAACAAAGGAATGAACTCAGGCCGACTAAAAACATTTCCATTTTTTAAGTGAGTCTCTGCCATTCATGTAATGAAACGTGTATTAAAGAAATGGGTCTTGTGCTCAATCCCAGATGGCTAATCATGTTGATCAGTCTATGACAGAAAAGGAAGTCACAGAACACAGAAGTAATGCAAACTAGAGATAGCAATGGCAGACTCTAGTCTAGACTAGACTAGACTAGACTAGACTAGTCTAGACTCTAGTGAAGATTTTCTTTCATTCCATCACACAGAATATTGGAATATTCATTTACAAACAGGAGAATCCCTCTTTCTTTAACTACCCAACCTCAAACAGATGACATAAACTGTGTTTAATCTTTTAAAATAAATTCCAGAAATAATGTACTCAGCAAAGTAAGGCCCAGGTTAAATCATATGAATTAGGAGACTACTGGCATCTCTAAATTCTCCAGATGCCCAGTGATTAAAGCACAAGCTCCCCCCCCACATCTACTAAACAGTGGCCTTTGCTTCGCCTAAGTGGATCAGTATGTCCCATGAAGAATGCTATCTGATCTTTCTGTTCTGTTTCCTCTTTCTTATGTGCAGTAAGACAGCAATGTCAAATTGATGTACAATGTTTTAAGTTTATGTGCTAACTCCCTCAATTTAATAGGAGGAATTAAACTGAACCAAATCTTTTCTTTTCCAACCTGTACTTGAATTAAAATTGGAATCTAATCCTGTAAGGCTATCTTATTTGTCTAAGCAGACCATCTTTTAAATCCTATGGAATGATTTAGTTTGACATCTAGACAAGAAAGTTATCAATAGTGCATACAAAATGTCAGCAACACAAAACCTATTTTTAGTTGAAAACTCTTGTTATAGTTAAAATGATGCTGAGAATTCTAATTGATGTTAAGGGTCAAACTAACTAAAGGTGATTTTAGAATGGGCATATTAAGAAAAAAATATTACATTGATGTGTAATTATCTGTGAAGAACTAGAAATGATTCTTCATACCAAACAATTACCCTGGTTTAAAATATTATGCTTTTAGACTTGTATAAATAGCATCTTGTTATAGTTAAAATGATGCTGAGAATTCTAATTGATGTTAAGGGTCAAACTAACTAAAGGTGATTTTAGAATGGGCATATTAAGAAAAAAATATTACATTGATGTGTAATTATCTGTGAAGAACTAGAAATGATTCTTCATACCAAACAATTACCCTGGTTTAAAATATTATGCTTTTAGACTTGTATAAATAGCAATTATACTGTAGGCAAAGTGATGGCTTTATCCATTCCCTGTCCCCCAGAACCTGTAATATCACCTCATATAACAAAAGACATAATTGAGTTGAAGAGCTTGAGAGCCTGTGGCAACCTTTTTCTGCATTATTTAGATGAACCCTACAAGCAACCACCTATACCCTCACACTAAAGAAAATGTGTTTAGGGAGCCAGAGAGATGGCTCAGTGGTTATGAGCACTGACTAGTCTTGCAGAGGACCTAGGTTTGATTCCCAGCACCCACATGGCAGCTAACAACTATCTATAACTCCAGTTCCAGGGGGATTGGATGCCTTCTTCTGACCTTGAGCATTGCATAGCACGGGTGCATCTACCTACATGCAAGCAATACACTCAACATTAAATTAAAATAGTTTTTTAGGAAAGAGAGAGTGTTTTCAGAAGTTCAGACCTGAGTGACGTGAAGATGGAGAAAGAACAGAAACTGGAGTGTAGACAGAATACAACCAGAAGCTGGACGAGGCCCAAAGCAAGTCGCCTACGCCTGTTTTGGGAGTGTTGTCCAGCATGGTGGCCTCCAGGGCTGAGAATGAGTCTCTGT